CTCTCTTGTCGCTGCCATGTGCTTCTTCCTCTCTTGTCGCTGCCATGTGCTTCTTCCTCTCTTGTCGCTGCCATGTGCTTCTTCCTCTCTTGTCGCTGCCATGTGCTTCTTCCTCTCTTGTCGCTGCCATGTGCTTCTTCCTCTCTTGTCGCTGCCATGTGCTTCTTCCTCTCTTGTCGCTGCCATGTGCTTCTTCCTCTCTTGTCGCTGCCATGTGCTTCTTCCTCTCTTGTCGCTGCCATGTGCTTCTTCCTCTCTTGTCGCTGCCATGTGCTTCTTCCTCTCTTGTCGCTGCCATGTGCTTCTTCCTCTCTTGTCGCTGCCATGTGCTTCTTCCTCTCTTGTCGCTGCCATGTGCTTCTTCCTCTCTTGTCGCTGCCATGTGCTTCTTCCTCTCTTGTCGCTGCCATGTGCTTCTTCCTCTCTTGTCGCTGCCATGTGCTTCTTCCTCTCTTGTCGCTGCCATGTGCTTCTTCCTCTCTTGTCGCTGCCATGTGCTTCTTCCTCTCTTGTCGCTGCCATGTGCTTCTTCCTCTCTTGTCGCTGCCATGTGCTTCTTCCTCTCTTGTCGCTGCCATGTGCTTCTTCCTCTCTTGTCGCTGCCATGTGCTTCTTCCTCTCTTGTCGCTGCCATGTGCTTCTTCCTCTCTTGTCGCTGCCATGTGCTTCTTCCTCTCTTGTCGCTGCCATGTGCTTCTTCCTCTCTTGTCGCTGCCATGTGCTTCTTCCTCTCTTGTCGCTGCCATGTGCTTCTTCCTCTCTTGTCGCTGCCATGTGCTTCTTCCTCTCTTGTCGCTGCCATGTGCTTCTTCCTCTCTTGTCGCTGCCATGTGCTTCTTCCTCTCTTGTCGCTGCCATGTGCTTCTTCCTCTCTTGTCGCTGCCATGTGCTTCTTCCTCTCTTGTCGCTGCCATGTGCTTCTTCCTCTCTTGTCGCTGCCATGTGCTTCTTCCTCTCTTGTCGCTGCCATGTGCTTCTTCCTCTCTTGTCGCTGCCATGTGCTTCTTCCTCTCTTGTCGCTGCCATGTGCTTCTTCCTCTCTTGTCGCTGCCATGTGCTTCTTCCTCTCTTGTCGCTGCCATGTGCTTCTTCCTCTCTTGTCGCTGCCATGTGCTTCTTCCTCTCTTGTCGCTGCCATGTGCTTCTTCCTCTCTTGTCGCTGCCATGTGCTTCTTCCTCTCTTGTCGCTGCCATGTGCTTCTTCCTCTCTTGTCGCTGCCATGTGCTTCTTCCTCTCTTGTCGCTGCCATGTGCTTCTTCCTCTCTTGTCGCTGCCATGTGCTTCTTCCTCTCTTGTCGCTGCCATGTGCTTCTTCCTCTCTTGTCGCTGCCATGTGCTTCTTCCTCTCTTGTCGCTGCCATGTGCTTCTTCCTCTCTTGTCGCTGCCATGTGCTTCTTCCTCTCTTGTCGCTGCCATGTGCTTCTTCCTCTCTTGTCGCTGCCATGTGCTTCTTCCTCTCTTGTCGCTGCCATGTGCTTCTTCCTCTCTTGTCGCTGCCATGTGCTTCTTCCTCTCTTGTCGCTGCCATGTGCTTCTTCCTCTCTTGTCGCTGCCATGTGCTTCTTCCTCTCTTGTCGCTGCCATGTGCTTCTTCCTCTCTTGTCGCTGCCATGTGCTTCTTCCTCTCTTGTCGCTGCCATGTGCTTCTTCCTCTCTTGTCGCTGCCATGTGCTTCTTCCTCTCTTGTCGCTGCCATGTGCTTCTTCCTCTCTTGTCGCTGCCATGTGCTTCTTCCTCTCTTGTCGCTGCCATGTGCTTCTTCCTCTCTTGTCGCTGCCATGTGCTTCTTCCTCTCTTGTCGCTGCCATGTGCTTCTTCCTCTCTTGTCGCTGCCATGTGCTTCTTCCTCTCTTGTCGCTGCCATGTGCTTCTTCCTCTCTTGTCGCTGCCATGTGCTTCTTCCTCTCTTGTCGCTGCCATGTGCTTCTTCCTCTCTTGTCGCTGCCATGTGCTTCTTCCTCTCTTGTCGCTGCCATGTGCTTCTTCCTCTCTTGTCGCTGCCATGTGCTTCTTCCTCTCTTGTCGCTGCCATGTGCTTCTTCCTCTCTTGTCGCTGCCATGTGCTTCTTCCTCTCTTGTCGCTGCCATGTGCTTCTTCCTCTCTTGTCGCTGCCATGTGCTTCTTCCTCTCTTGTCGCTGCCATGTGCTTCTTCCTCTCTTGTCGCTGCCATGTGCTTCTTCCTCTCTTGTCGCTGCCATGTGCTTCTTCCTCTCTTGTCGCTGCCATGTGCTTCTTCCTCTCTTGTCGCTGCCATGTGCTTCTTCCTCTCTTGTCGCTGCCATGTGCTTCTTCCTCTCTTGTCGCTGCCATGTGCTTCTTCCTCTCTTGTCGCTGCCATGTGCTTCTTCCTCTCTTGTCGCTGCCATGTGCTTCTTCCTCTCTTGTCGCTGCCATGTGCTTCTTCCTCTCTTGTCGCTGCCATGTGCTTCTTCCTCTCTTGTCGCTGCCATGTGCTTCTTCCTCTCTTGTCGCTGCCATGTGCTTCTTCCTCTCTTGTCGCTGCCATGTGCTTCTTCCTCTCTTGTCGCTGCCATGTGCTTCTTCCTCTCTTGTCGCTGCCATGTGCTTCTTCCTCTCTTGTCGCTGCCATGTGCTTCTTCCTCTCTTGTCGCTGCCATGTGCTTCTTCCTCTCTTGTCGCTGCCATGTGCTTCTTCCTCTCTTGTCGCTGCCATGTGCTTCTTCCTCTCTTGTCGCTGCCATGTGCTTCTTCCTCTCTTGTCGCTGCCATGTGCTTCTTCCTCTCTTGTCGCTGCCATGTGCTTCTTCCTCTCTTGTCGCTGCCATGTGCTTCTTCCTCTCTTGTCGCTGCCATGTGCTTCTTCCTCTCTTGTCGCTGCCATGTGCTTCTTCCTCTCTTGTCGCTGCCATGTGCTTCTTCCTCTCTTGTCGCTGCCATGTGCTTCTTCCTCTCTTGTCGCTGCCATGTGCTTCTTCCTCTCTTGTCGCTGCCATGTGCTTCTTCCTCTCTTGTCGCTGCCATGTGCTTCTTCCTCTCTTGTCGCTGCCATGTGCTTCTTCCTCTCTTGTCGCTGCCATGTGCTTCTTCCTCTCTTGTCGCTGCCATGTGCTTCTTCCTCTCTTGTCGCTGCCATGTGCTTCTTCCTCTCTTGTCGCTGCCATGTGCTTCTTCCTCTCTTGTCGCTGCCATGTGCTTCTTCCTCTCTTGTCGCTGCCATGTGCTTCTTCCTCTCTTGTCGCTGCCATGTGCTTCTTCCTCTCTTGTCGCTGCCATGTGCTTCTTCCTCTCTTGTCGCTGCCATGTGCTTCTTCCTCTCTTGTCGCTGCCATGTGCTTCTTCCTCTCTTGTCGCTGCCATGTGCTTCTTCCTCTCTTGTCGCTGCCATGTGCTTCTTCCTCTCTTGTCGCTGCCATGTGCTTCTTCCTCTCTTGTCGCTGCCATGTGCTTCTTCCTCTCTTGTCGCTGCCATGTGCTTCTTCCTCTCTTGTCGCTGCCATGTGCTTCTTCCTCTCTTGTCGCTGCCATGTGCTTCTTCCTCTCTTGTCGCTGCCATGTGCTTCTTCCTCTCTTGTCGCTGCCATGTGCTTCTTCCTCTCTTGTCGCTGCCATGTGCTTCTTCCTCTCTTGTCGCTGCCATGTGCTTCTTCCTCTCTTGTCGCTGCCATGTGCTTCTTCCTCTCTTGTCGCTGCCATGTGCTTCTTCCTCTCTTGTCGCTGCCATGTGCTTCTTCCTCTCTTGTCGCTGCCATGTGCTTCTTCCTCTCTTGTCGCTGCCATGTGCTTCTTCCTCTCTTGTCGCTGCCATGTGCTTCTTCCTCTCTTGTCGCTGCCATGTGCTTCTTCCTCTCTTGTCGCTGCCATGTGCTTCTTCCTCTCTTGTCGCTGCCATGTGCTTCTTCCTCTCTTGTCGCTGCCATGTGCTTCTTCCTCTCTTGTCGCTGCCATGTGCTTCTTCCTCTCTTGTCGCTGCCATGTGCTTCTTCCTCTCTTGTCGCTGCCATGTGCTTCTTCCTCTCTTGTCGCTGCCATGTGCTTCTTCCTCTCTTGTCGCTGCCATGTGCTTCTTCCTCTCTTGTCGCTGCCATGTGCTTCTTCCTCTCTTGTCGCTGCCATGTGCTTCTTCCTCTCTTGTCGCTGCCATGTGCTTCTTCCTCTCTTGTCGCTGCCATGTGCTTCTTCCTCTCTTGTCGCTGCCATGTGCTTCTTCCTCTCTTGTCGCTGCCATGTGCTTCTTCCTCTCTTGTCGCTGCCATGTGCTTCTTCCTCTCTTGTCGCTGCCATGTGCTTCTTCCTCTCTTGTCGCTGCCATGTGCTTCTTCCTCTCTTGTCGCTGCCATGTGCTTCTTCCTCTCTTGTCGCTGCCATGTGCTTCTTCCTCTCTTGTCGCTGCCATGTGCTTCTTCCTCTCTTGTCGCTGCCATGTGCTTCTTCCTCTCTTGTCGCTGCCATGTGCTTCTTCCTCTCTTGTCGCTGCCATGTGCTTCTTCCTCTCTTGTCGCTGCCATGTGCTTCTTCCTCTCTTGTCGCTGCCATGTGCTTCTTCCTCTCTTGTCGCTGCCATGTGCTTCTTCCTCTCTTGTCGCTGCCATGTGCTTCTTCCTCTCTTGTCGCTGCCATGTGCTTCTTCCTCTCTTGTCGCTGCCATGTGCTTCTTCCTCTCTTGTCGCTGCCATGTGCTTCTTCCTCTCTTGTCGCTGCCATGTGCTTCTTCCTCTCTTGTCGCTGCCATGTGCTTCTTCCTCTCTTGTCGCTGCCATGTGCTTCTTCCTCTCTTGTCGCTGCCATGTGCTTCTTCCTCTCTTGTCGCTGCCATGTGCTTCTTCCTCTCTTGTCGCTGCCATGTGCTTCTTCCTCTCTTGTCGCTGCCATGTGCTTCTTCCTCTCTTGTCGCTGCCATGTGCTTCTTCCTCTCTTGTCGCTGCCATGTGCTTCTTCCTCTCTTGTCGCTGCCATGTGCTTCTTCCTCTCTTGTCGCTGCCATGTGCTTCTTCCTCTCTTGTCGCTGCCATGTGCTTCTTCCTCTCTTGTCGCTGCCATGTGCTTCTTCCTCTCTTGTCGCTGCCATGTGCTTCTTCCTCTCTTGTCGCTGCCATGTGCTTCTTCCTCTCTTGTCGCTGCCATGTGCTTCTTCCTCTCTTGTCGCTGCCATGTGCTTCTTCCTCTCTTGTCGCTGCCATGTGCTTCTTCCTCTCTTGTCGCTGCCATGTGCTTCTTCCTCTCTTGTCGCTGCCATGTGCTTCTTCCTCTCTTGTCGCTGCCATGTGCTTCTTCCTCTCTTGTCGCTGCCATGTGCTTCTTCCTCTCTTGTCGCTGCCATGTGCTTCTTCCTCTCTTGTCGCTGCCATGTGCTTCTTCCTCTCTTGTCGCTGCCATGTGCTTCTTCCTCTCTTGTCGCTGCCATGTGCTTCTTCCTCTCTTGTCGCTGCCATGTGCTTCTTCCTCTCTTGTCGCTGCCATGTGCTTCTTCCTCTCTTGTCGCTGCCATGTGCTTCTTCCTCTCTTGTCGCTGCCATGTGCTTCTTCCTCTCTTGTCGCTGCCATGTGCTTCTTCCTCTCTTGTCGCTGCCATGTGCTTCTTCCTCTCTTGTCGCTGCCATGTGCTTCTTCCTCTCTTGTCGCTGCCATGTGCTTCTTCCTCTCTTGTCGCTGCCATGTGCTTCTTCCTCTCTTGTCGCTGCCATGTGCTTCTTCCTCTCTTGTCGCTGCCATGTGCTTCTTCCTCTCTTGTCGCTGCCATGTGCTTCTTCCTCTCTTGTCGCTGCCATGTGCTTCTTCCTCTCTTGTCGCTGCCATGTGCTTCTTCCTCTCTTGTCGCTGCCATGTGCTTCTTCCTCTCTTGTCGCTGCCATGTGCTTCTTCCTCTCTTGTCGCTGCCATGTGCTTCTTCCTCTCTTGTCGCTGCCATGTGCTTCTTCCTCTCTTGTCGCTGCCATGTGCTTCTTCCTCTCTTGTCGCTGCCATGTGCTTCTTCCTCTCTTGTCGCTGCCATGTGCTTCTTCCTCTCTTGTCGCTGCCATGTGCTTCTTCCTCTCTTGTCGCTGCCATGTGCTTCTTCCTCTCTTGTCGCTGCCATGTGCTTCTTCCTCTCTTGTCGCTGCCATGTGCTTCTTCCTCTCTTGTCGCTGCCATGTGCTTCTTCCTCTCTTGTCGCTGCCATGTGCTTCTTCCTCTCTTGTCGCTGCCATGTGCTTCTTCCTCTCTTGTCGCTGCCATGTGCTTCTTCCTCTCTTGTCGCTGCCATGTGCTTCTTCCTCTCTTGTCGCTGCCATGTGCTTCTTCCTCTCTTGTCGCTGCCATGTGCTTCTTCCTCTCTTGTCGCTGCCATGTGCTTCTTCCTCTCTTGTCGCTGCCATGTGCTTCTTCCTCTCTTGTCGCTGCCATGTGCTTCTTCCTCTCTTGTCGCTGCCATGTGCTTCTTCCTCTCTTGTCGCTGCCATGTGCTTCTTCCTCTCTTGTCGCTGCCATGTGCTTCTTCCTCTCTTGTCGCTGCCATGTGCTTCTTCCTCTCTTGTCGCTGCCATGTGCTTCTTCCTCTCTTGTCGCTGCCATGTGCTTCTTCCTCTCTTGTCGCTGCCATGTGCTTCTTCCTCTCTTGTCGCTGCCATGTGCTTCTTCCTCTCTTGTCGCTGCCATGTGCTTCTTCCTCTCTTGTCGCTGCCATGTGCTTCTTCCTCTCTTGTCGCTGCCATGTGCTTCTTCCTCTCTTGTCGCTGCCATGTGCTTCTTCCTCTCTTGTCGCTGCCATGTGCTTCTTCCTCTCTTGTCGCTGCCATGTGCTTCTTCCTCTCTTGTCGCTGCCATGTGCTTCTTCCTCTCTTGTCGCTGCCATGTGCTTCTTCCTCTCTTGTCGCTGCCATGTGCTTCTTCCTCTCTTGTCGCTGCCATGTGCTTCTTCCTCTCTTGTCGCTGCCATGTGCTTCTTCCTCTCTTGTCGCTGCCATGTGCTTCTTCCTCTCTTGTCGCTGCCATGTGCTTCTTCCTCTCTTGTCGCTGCCATGTGCTTCTTCCTCTCTTGTCGCTGCCATGTGCTTCTTCCTCTCTTGTCGCTGCCATGTGCTTCTTCCTCTCTTGTCGCTGCCATGTGCTTCTTCCTCTCTTGTCGCTGCCATGTGCTTCTTCCTCTCTTGTCGCTGCCATGTGCTTCTTCCTCTCTTGTCGCTGCCATGTGCTTCTTCCTCTCTTGTCGCTGCCATGTGCTTCTTCCTCTCTTGTCGCTGCCATGTGCTTCTTCCTCTCTTGTCGCTGCCATGTGCTTCTTCCTCTCTTGTCGCTGCCATGTGCTTCTTCCTCTCTTGTCGCTGCCATGTGCTTCTTCCTCTCTTGTCGCTGCCATGTGCTTCTTCCTCTCTTGTCGCTGCCATGTGCTTCTTCCTCTCTTGTCGCTGCCATGTGCTTCTTCCTCTCTTGTCGCTGCCATGTGCTTCTTCCTCTCTTGTCGCTGCCATGTGCTTCTTCCTCTCTTGTCGCTGCCATGTGCTTCTTCCTCTCTTGTCGCTGCCATGTGCTTCTTCCTCTCTTGTCGCTGCCATGTGCTTCTTCCTCTCTTGTCGCTGCCATGTGCTTCTTCCTCTCTTGTCGCTGCCATGTGCTTCTTCCTCTCTTGTCGCTGCCATGTGCTTCTTCCTCTCTTGTCGCTGCCATGTGCTTCTTCCTCTCTTGTCGCTGCCATGTGCTTCTTCCTCTCTTGTCGCTGCCATGTGCTTCTTCCTCTCTTGTCGCTGCCATGTGCTTCTTCCTCTCTTGTCGCTGCCATGTGCTTCTTCCTCTCTTGTCGCTGCCATGTGCTTCTTCCTCTCTTGTCGCTGCCATGTGCTTCTTCCTCTCTTGTCGCTGCCATGTGCTTCTTCCTCTCTTGTCGCTGCCATGTGCTTCTTCCTCTCTTGTCGCTGCCATGTGCTTCTTCCTCTCTTGTCGCTGCCATGTGCTTCTTCCTCTCTTGTCGCTGCCATGTGCTTCTTCCTCTCTTGTCGCTGCCATGTGCTTCTTCCTCTCTTGTCGCTGCCATGTGCTTCTTCCTCTCTTGTCGCTGCCATGTGCTTCTTCCTCTCTTGTCGCTGCCATGTGCTTCTTCCTCTCTTGTCGCTGCCATGTGCTTCTTCCTCTCTTGTCGCTGCCATGTGCTTCTTCCTCTCTTGTCGCTGCCATGTGCTTCTTCCTCTCTTGTCGCTGCCATGTGCTTCTTCCTCTCTTGTCGCTGCCATGTGCTTCTTCCTCTCTTGTCGCTGCCATGTGCTTCTTCCTCTCTTGTCGCTGCCATGTGCTTCTTCCTCTCTTGTCGCTGCCATGTGCTTCTTCCTCTCTTGTCGCTGCCATGTGCTTCTTCCTCTCTTGTCGCTGCCATGTGCTTCTTCCTCTCTTGTCGCTGCCATGTGCTTCTTCCTCTCTTGTCGCTGCCATGTGCTTCTTCCTCTCTTGTCGCTGCCATGTGCTTCTTCCTCTCTTGTCGCTGCCATGTGCTTCTTCCTCTCTTGTCGCTGCCATGTGCTTCTTCCTCTCTTGTCGCTGCCATGTGCTTCTTCCTCTCTTGTCGCTGCCATGTGCTTCTTCCTCTCTTGTCGCTGCCATGTGCTTCTTCCTCTCTTGTCGCTGCCATGTGCTTCTTCCTCTCTTGTCGCTGCCATGTGCTTCTTCCTCTCTTGTCGCTGCCATGTGCTTCTTCCTCTCTTGTCGCTGCCATGTGCTTCTTCCTCTCTTGTCGCTGCCATGTGCTTCTTCCTCTCTTGTCGCTGCCATGTGCTTCTTCCTCTCTTGTCGCTGCCATGTGCTTCTTCCTCTCTTGTCGCTGCCATGTGCTTCTTCCTCTCTTGTCGCTGCCATGTGCTTCTTCCTCTCTTGTCGCTGCCATGTGCTTCTTCCTCTCTTGTCGCTGCCATGTGCTTCTTCCTCTCTTGTCGCTGCCATGTGCTTCTTCCTCTCTTGTCGCTGCCATGTGCTTCTTCCTCTCTTGTCGCTGCCATGTGCTTCTTCCTCTCTTGTCGCTGCCATGTGCTTCTTCCTCTCTTGTCGCTGCCATGTGCTTCTTCCTCTCTTGTCGCTGCCATGTGCTTCTTCCTCTCTTGTCGCTGCCATGTGCTTCTTCCTCTCTTGTCGCTGCCATGTGCTTCTTCCTCTCTTGTCGCTGCCATGTGCTTCTTCCTCTCTTGTCGCTGCCATGTGCTTCTTCCTCTCTTGTCGCTGCCATGTGCTTCTTCCTCTCTTGTCGCTGCCATGTGCTTCTTCCTCTCTTGTCGCTGCCATGTGCTTCTTCCTCTCTTGTCGCTGCCATGTGCTTCTTCCTCTCTTGTCGCTGCCATGTGCTTCTTCCTCTCTTGTCGCTGCCATGTGCTTCTTCCTCTCTTGTCGCTGCCATGTGCTTCTTCCTCTCTTGTCGCTGCCATGTGCTTCTTCCTCTCTTGTCGCTGCCATGTGCTTCTTCCTCTCTTGTCGCTGCCATGTGCTTCTTCCTCTCTTGTCGCTGCCATGTGCTTCTTCCTCTCTTGTCGCTGCCATGTGCTTCTTCCTCTCTTGTCGCTGCCATGTGCTTCTTCCTCTCTTGTCGCTGCCATGTGCTTCTTCCTCTCTTGTCGCTGCCATGTGCTTCTTCCTCTCTTGTCGCTGCCATGTGCTTCTTCCTCTCTTGTCGCTGCCATGTGCTTCTTCCTCTCTTGTCGCTGCCATGTGCTTCTTCCTCTCTTGTCGCTGCCATGTGCTTCTTCCTCTCTTGTCGCTGCCATGTGCTTCTTCCTCTCTTGTCGCTGCCATGTGCTTCTTCCTCTCTTGTCGCTGCCATGTGCTTCTTCCTCTCTTGTCGCTGCCATGTGCTTCTTCCTCTCTTGTCGCTGCCATGTGCTTCTTCCTCTCTTGTCGCTGCCATGTGCTTCTTCCTCTCTTGTCGCTGCCATGTGCTTCTTCCTCTCTTGTCGCTGCCATGTGCTTCTTCCTCTCTTGTCGCTGCCATGTGCTTCTTCCTCTCTTGTCGCTGCCATGTGCTTCTTCCTCTCTTGTCGCTGCCATGTGCTTCTTCCTCTCTTGTCGCTGCCATGTGCTTCTTCCTCTCTTGTCGCTGCCATGTGCTTCTTCCTCTCTTGTCGCTGCCATGTGCTTCTTCCTCTCTTGTCGCTGCCATGTGCTTCTTCCTCTCTTGTCGCTGCCATGTGCTTCTTCCTCTCTTGTCGCTGCCATGTGCTTCTTCCTCTCTTGTCGCTGCCATGTGCTTCTTCCTCTCTTGTCGCTGCCATGTGCTTCTTCCTCTCTTGTCGCTGCCATGTGCTTCTTCCTCTCTTGTCGCTGCCATGTGCTTCTTCCTCTCTTGTCGCTGCCATGTGCTTCTTCCTCTCTTGTCGCTGCCATGTGCTTCTTCCTCTCTTGTCGCTGCCATGTGCTTCTTCCTCTCTTGTCGCTGCCATGTGCTTCTTCCTCTCTTGTCGCTGCCATGTGCTTCTTCCTCTCTTGTCGCTGCCATGTGCTTCTTCCTCTCTTGTCGCTGCCATGTGCTTCTTCCTCTCTTGTCGCTGCCATGTGCTTCTTCCTCTCTTGTCGCTGCCATGTGCTTCTTCCTCTCTTGTCGCTGCCATGTGCTTCTTCCTCTCTTGTCGCTGCCATGTGCTTCTTCCTCTCTTGTCGCTGCCATGTGCTTCTTCCTCTCTTGTCGCTGCCATGTGCTTCTTCCTCTCTTGTCGCTGCCATGTGCTTCTTCCTCTCTTGTCGCTGCCATGTGCTTCTTCCTCTCTTGTCGCTGCCATGTGCTTCTTCCTCTCTTGTCGCTGCCATGTGCTTCTTCCTCTCTTGTCGCTGCCATGTGCTTCTTCCTCTCTTGTCGCTGCCATGTGCTTCTTCCTCTCTTGTCGCTGCCATGTGCTTCTTCCTCTCTTGTCGCTGCCATGTGCTTCTTCCTCTCTTGTCGCTGCCATGTGCTTCTTCCTCTCTTGTCGCTGCCATGTGCTTCTTCCTCTCTTGTCGCTGCCATGTGCTTCTTCCTCTCTTGTCGCTGCCATGTGCTTCTTCCTCTCTTGTCGCTGCCATGTGCTTCTTCCTCTCTTGTCGCTGCCATGTGCTTCTTCCTCTCTTGTCGCTGCCATGTGCTTCTTCCTCTCTTGTCGCTGCCATGTGCTTCTTCCTCTCTTGTCGCTGCCATGTGCTTCTTCCTCTCTTGTCGCTGCCATGTGCTTCTTCCTCTCTTGTCGCTGCCATGTGCTTCTTCCTCTCTTGTCGCTGCCATGTGCTTCTTCCTCTCTTGTCGCTGCCATGTGCTTCTTCCTCTCTTGTCGCTGCCATGTGCTTCTTCCTCTCTTGTCGCTGCCATGTGCTTCTTCCTCTCTTGTCGCTGCCATGTGCTTCTTCCTCTCTTGTCGCTGCCATGTGCTTCTTCCTCTCTTGTCGCTGCCATGTGCTTCTTCCTCTCTTGTCGCTGCCATGTGCTTCTTCCTCTCTTGTCGCTGCCATGTGCTTCTTCCTCTCTTGTCGCTGCCATGTGCTTCTTCCTCTCTTGTCGCTGCCATGTGCTTCTTCCTCTCTTGTCGCTGCCATGTGCTTCTTCCTCTCTTGTCGCTGCCATGTGCTTCTTCCTCTCTTGTCGCTGCCATGTGCTTCTTCCTCTCTTGTCGCTGCCATGTGCTTCTTCCTCTCTTGTCGCTGCCATGTGCTTCTTCCTCTCTTGTCGCTGCCATGTGCTTCTTCCTCTCTTGTCGCTGCCATGTGCTTCTTCCTCTCTTGTCGCTGCCATGTGCTTCTTCCTCTCTTGTCGCTGCCATGTGCTTCTTCCTCTCTTGTCGCTGCCATGTGCTTCTTCCTCTCTTGTCGCTGCCATGTGCTTCTTCCTCTCTTGTCGCTGCCATGTGCTTCTTCCTCTCTTGTCGCTGCCATGTGCTTCTTCCTCTCTTGTCGCTGCCATGTGCTTCTTCCTCTCTTGTCGCTGCCATGTGCTTCTTCCTCTCTTGTCGCTGCCATGTGCTTCTTCCTCTCTTGTCGCTGCCATGTGCTTCTTCCTCTCTTGTCGCTGCCATGTGCTTCTTCCTCTCTTGTCGCTGCCATGTGCTTCTTCCTCTCTTGTCGCTGCCATGTGCTTCTTCCTCTCTTGTCGCTGCCATGTGCTTCTTCCTCTCTTGTCGCTGCCATGTGCTTCTTCCTCTCTTGTCGCTGCCATGTGCTTCTTCCTCTCTTGTCGCTGCCATGTGCTTCTTCCTCTCTTGTCGCTGCCATGTGCTTCTTCCTCTCTTGTCGCTGCCATGTGCTTCTTCCTCTCTTGTCGCTGCCATGTGCTTCTTCCTCTCTTGTCGCTGCCATGTGCTTCTTCCTCTCTTGTCGCTGCCATGTGCTTCTTCCTCTCTTGTCGCTGCCATGTGCTTCTTCCTCTCTTGTCGCTGCCATGTGCTTCTTCCTCTCTTGTCGCTGCCATGTGCTTCTTCCTCTCTTGTCGCTGCCATGTGCTTCTTCCTCTCTTGTCGCTGCCATGTGCTTCTTCCTCTCTTGTCGCTGCCATGTGCTTCTTCCTCTCTTGTCGCTGCCATGTGCTTCTTCCTCTCTTGTCGCTGCCATGTGCTTCTTCCTCTCTTGTCGCTGCCATGTGCTTCTTCCTCTCTTGTCGCTGCCATGTGCTTCTTCCTCTCTTGTCGCTGCCATGTGCTTCTTCCTCTCTTGTCGCTGCCATGTGCTTCTTCCTCTCTTGTCGCTGCCATGTGCTTCTTCCTCTCTTGTCGCTGCCATGTGCTTCTTCCTCTCTTGTCGCTGCCATGTGCTTCTTCCTCTCTTGTCGCTGCCATGTGCTTCTTCCTCTCTTGTCGCTGCCATGTGCTTCTTCCTCTCTTGTCGCTGCCATGTGCTTCTTCCTCTCTTGTCGCTGCCATGTGCTTCTTCCTCTCTTGTCGCTGCCATGTGCTTCTTCCTCTCTTGTCGCTGCCATGTGCTTCTTCCTCTCTTGTCGCTGCCATGTGCTTCTTCCTCTCTTGTCGCTGCCATGTGCTTCTTCCTCTCTTGTCGCTGCCATGTGCTTCTTCCTCTCTTGTCGCTGCCATGTGCTTCTTCCTCTCTTGTCGCTGCCATGTGCTTCTTCCTCTCTTGTCGCTGCCATGTGCTTCTTCCTCTCTTGTCGCTGCCATGTGCTTCTTCCTCTCTTGTCGCTGCCATGTGCTTCTTCCTCTCTTGTCGCTGCCATGTGCTTCTTCCTCTCTTGTCGCTGCCATGTGCTTCTTCCTCTCTTGTCGCTGCCATGTGCTTCTTCCTCTCTTGTCGCTGCCATGTGCTTCTTCCTCTCTTGTCGCTGCCATGTGCTTCTTCCTCTCTTGTCGCTGCCATGTGCTTCTTCCTCTCTTGTCGCTGCCATGTGCTTCTTCCTCTCTTGTCGCTGCCATGTGCTTCTTCCTCTCTTGTCGCTGCCATGTGCTTCTTCCTCTCTTGTCGCTGCCATGTGCTTCTTCCTCTCTTGTCGCTGCCATGTGCTTCTTCCTCTCTTGTCGCTGCCATGTGCTTCTTCCTCTCTTGTCGCTGCCATGTGCTTCTTCCTCTCTTGTCGCTGCCATGTGCTTCTTCCTCTCTTGTCGCTGCCATGTGCTTCTTCCTCTCTTGTCGCTGCCATGTGCTTCTTCCTCTCTTGTCGCTGCCATGTGCTTCTTCCTCTCTTGTCGCTGCCATGTGCTTCTTCCTCTCTTGTCGCTGCCATGTGCTTCTTCCTCTCTTGTCGCTGCCATGTGCTTCTTCCTCTCTTGTCGCTGCCATGTGCTTCTTCCTCTCTTGTCGCTGCCATGTGCTTCTTCCTCTCTTGTCGCTGCCATGTGCTTCTTCCTCTCTTGTCGCTGCCATGTGCTTCTTCCTCTCTTGTCGCTGCCATGTGCTTCTTCCTCTCTTGTCGCTGCCATGTGCTTCTTCCTCTCTTGTCGCTGCCATGTGCTTCTTCCTCTCTTGTCGCTGCCATGTGCTTCTTCCTCTCTTGTCGCTGCCATGTGCTTCTTCCTCTCTTGTCGCTGCCATGTGCTTCTTCCTCTCTTGTCGCTGCCATGTGCTTCTTCCTCTCTTGTCGCTGCCATGTGCTTCTTCCTCTCTTGTCGCTGCCATGTGCTTCTTCCTCTCTTGTCGCTGCCATGTGCTTCTTCCTCTCTTGTCGCTGCCATGTGCTTCTTCCTCTCTTGTCGCTGCCATGTGCTTCTTCCTCTCTTGTCGCTGCCATGTGCTTCTTCCTCTCTTGTCGCTGCCATGTGCTTCTTCCTCTCTTGTCGCTGCCATGTGCTTCTTCCTCTCTTGTCGCTGCCATGTGCTTCTTCCTCTCTTGTCGCTGCCATGTGCTTCTTCCTCTCTTGTCGCTGCCATGTGCTTCTTCCTCTCTTGTCGCTGCCATGTGCTTCTTCCTCTCTTGTCGCTGCCATGTGCTTCTTCCTCTCTTGTCGCTGCCATGTGCTTCTTCCTCTCTTGTCGCTGCCATGTGCTTCTTCCTCTCTTGTCGCTGCCATGTGCTTCTTCCTCTCTTGTCGCTGCCATGTGCTTCTTCCTCTCTTGTCGCTGCCATGTGCTTCTTCCTCTCTTGTCGCTGCCATGTGCTTCTTCCTCTCTTGTCGCTGCCATGTGCTTCTTCCTCTCTTGTCGCTGCCATGTGCTTCTTCCTCTCTTGTCGCTGCCATGTGCTTCTTCCTCTCTTGTCGCTGCCATGTGCTTCTTCCTCTCTTGTCGCTGCCATGTGCTTCTTCCTCTCTTGTCGCTGCCATGTGCTTCTTCCTCTCTTGTCGCTGCCATGTGCTTCTTCCTCTCTTGTCGCTGCCATGTGCTTCTTCCTCTCTTGTCGCTGCCATGTGCTTCTTCCTCTCTTGTCGCTGCCATGTGCTTCTTCCTCTCTTGTCGCTGCCATGTGCTTCTTCCTCTCTTGTCGCTGCCATGTGCTTCTTCCTCTCTTGTCGCTGCCATGTGCTTCTTCCTCTCTTGTCGCTGCCATGTGCTTCTTCCTCTCTTGTCGCTGCCATGTGCTTCTTCCTCTCTTGTCGCTGCCATGTGCTTCTTCCTCTCTTGTCGCTGCCATGTGCTTCTTCCTCTCTTGTCGCTGCCATGTGCTTCTTCCTCTCTTGTCGCTGCCATGTGCTTCTTCCTCTCTTGTCGCTGCCATGTGCTTCTTCCTCTCTTGTCGCTGCCATGTGCTTCTTCCTCTCTTGTCGCTGCCATGTGCTTCTTCCTCTCTTGTCGCTGCCATGTGCTTCTTCCTCTCTTGTCGCTGCCATGTGCTTCTTCCTCTCTTGTCGCTGCCATGTGCTTCTTCCTCTCTTGTCGCTGCCATGTGCTTCTTCCTCTCTTGTCGCTGCCATGTGCTTCTTCCTCTCTTGTCGCTGCCATGTGCTTCTTCCTCTCTTGTCGCTGCCATGTGCTTCTTCCTCTCTTGTCGCTGCCATGTGCTTCTTCCTCTCTTGTCGCTGCCATGTGCTTCTTCCTCTCTTGTCGCTGCCATGTGCTTCTTCCTCTCTTGTCGCTGCCATGTGCTTCTTCCTCTCTTGTCGCTGCCATGTGCTTCTTCCTCTCTTGTCGCTGCCATGTGCTTCTTCCTCTCTTGTCGCTGCCATGTGCTTCTTCCTCTCTTGTCGCTGCCATGTGCTTCTTCCTCTCTTGTCGCTGCCATGTGCTTCTTCCTCTCTTGTCGCTGCCATGTGCTTCTTCCTCTCTTGTCGCTGCCATGTGCTTCTTCCTCTCTTGTCGCTGCCATGTGCTTCTTCCTCTCTTGTCGCTGCCATGTGCTTCTTCCTCTCTTGTCGCTGCCATGTGCTTCTTCCTCTCTTGTCGCTGCCATGTGCTTCTTCCTCTCTTGTCGCTGCCATGTGCTTCTTCCTCTCTTGTCGCTGCCATGTGCTTCTTCCTCTCTTGTCGCTGCCATGTGCTTCTTCCTCTCTTGTCGCTGCCATGTGCTTCTTCCTCTCTTGTCGCTGCCATGTGCTTCTTCCTCTCTTGTCGCTGCCATGTGCTTCTTCCTCTCTTGTCGCTGCCATGTGCTTCTTCCTCTCTTGTCGCTGCCATGTGCTTCTTCCTCTCTTGTCGCTGCCATGTGCTTCTTCCTCTCTTGTCGCTGCCATGTGCTTCTTCCTCTCTTGTCGCTGCCATGTGCTTCTTCCTCTCTTGTCGCTGCCATGTGCTTCTTCCTCTCTTGTCGCTGCCATGTGCTTCTTCCTCTCTTGTCGCTGCCATGTGCTTCTTCCTCTCTTGTCGCTGCCATGTGCTTCTTCCTCTCTTGTCGCTGCCATGTGCTTCTTCCTCTCTTGTCGCTGCCATGTGCTTCTTCCTCTCTTGTCGCTGCCATGTGCTTCTTCCTCTCTTGTCGCTGCCATGTGCTTCTTCCTCTCTTGTCGCTGCCATGTGCTTCTTCCTCTCTTGTCGCTGCCATGTGCTTCTTCCTCTCTTGTCGCTGCCATGTGCTTCTTCCTCTCTTGTCGCTGCCATGTGCTTCTTCCTCTCTTGTCGCTGCCATGTGCTTCTTCCTCTCTTGTCGCTGCCATGTGCTTCTTCCTCTCTTGTCGCTGCCATGTGCTTCTTCCTCTCTTGTCGCTGCCATGTGCTTCTTCCTCTCTTGTCGCTGCCATGTGCTTCTTCCTCTCTTGTCGCTGCCATGTGCTTCTTCCTCTCTTGTCGCTGCCATGTGCTTCTTCCTCTCTTGTCGCTGCCATGTGCTTCTTCCTCTCTTGTCGCTGCCATGTGCTTCTTCCTCTCTTGTCGCTGCCATGTGCTTCTTCCTCTCTTGTCGCTGCCATGTGCTTCTTCCTCTCTTGTCGCTGCCATGTGCTTCTTCCTCTCTTGTCGCTGCCATGTGCTTCTTCCTCTCTTGTCGCTGCCATGTGCTTCTTCCTCTCTTGTCGCTGCCATGTGCTTCTTCCTCTCTTGTCGCTGCCATGTGCTTCTTCCTCTCTTGTCGCTGCCATGTGCTTCTTCCTCTCTTGTCGCTGCCATGTGCTTCTTCCTCTCTTGTCGCTGCCATGTGCTTCTTCCTCTCTTGTCGCTGCCATGTGCTTCTTCCTCTCTTGTCGCTGCCATGTGCTTCTTCCTCTCTTGTCGCTGCCATGTGCTTCTTCCTCTCTTGTCGCTGCCATGTGCTTCTTCCTCTCTTGTCGCTGCCATGTGCTTCTTCCTCTCTTGTCGCTGCCATGTGCTTCTTCCTCTCTTGTCGCTGCCATGTGCTTCTTCCTCTCTTGTCGCTGCCATGTGCTTCTTCCTCTCTTGTCGCTGCCATGTGCTTCTTCCTCTCTTGTCGCTGCCATGTGCTTCTTCCTCTCTTGTCGCTGCCATGTGCTTCTTCCTCTCTTGTCGCTGCCATGTGCTTCTTCCTCTCTTGTCGCTGCCATGTGCTTCTTCCTCTCTTGTCGCTGCCATGTGCTTCTTCCTCTCTTGTCGCTGCCATGTGCTTCTTCCTCTCTTGTCGCTGCCATGTGCTTCTTCCTCTCTTGTCGCTGCCATGTGCTTCTTCCTCTCTTGTCGCTGCCATGTGCTTCTTCCTCTCTTGTCGCTGCCATGTGCTTCTTCCTCTCTTGTCGCTGCCATGTGCTTCTTCCTCTCTTGTCGCTGCCATGTGCTTCTTCCTCTCTTGTCGCTGCCATGTGCTTCTTCCTCTCTTGTCGCTGCCATGTGCTTCTTCCTCTCTTGTCGCTGCCATGTGCTTCTTCCTCTCTTGTCGCTGCCATGTGCTTCTTCCTCTCTTGTCGCTGCCATGTGCTTCTTCCTCTCTTGTCGCTGCCATGTGCTTCTTCCTCTCTTGTCGCTGCCATGTGCTTCTTCCTCTCTTGTCGCTGCCATGTGCTTCTTCCTCTCTTGTCGCTGCCATGTGCTTCTTCCTCTCTTGTCGCTGCCATGTGCTTCTTCCTCTCTTGTCGCTGCCATGTGCTTCTTCCTCTCTTGTCGCTGCCATGTGCTTCTTCCTCTCTTGTCGCTGCCATGTGCTTCTTCCTCTCTTGTCGCTGCCATGTGCTTCTTCCTCTCTTGTCGCTGCCATGTGCTTCTTCCTCTCTTGTCGCTGCCATGTGCTTCTTCCTCTCTTGTCGCTGCCATGTGCTTCTTCCTCTCTTGTCGCTGCCATGTGCTTCTTCCTCTCTTGTCGCTGCCATGTGCTTCTTCCTCTCTTGTCGCTGCCATGTGCTTCTTCCTCTCTTGTCGCTGCCATGTGCTTCTTCCTCTCTTGTCGCTGCCATGTGCTTCTTCCTCTCTTGTCGCTGCCATGTGCTTCTTCCTCTCTTGTCGCTGCCATGTGCTTCTTCCTCTCTTGTCGCTGCCATGTGCTTCTTCCTCTCTTGTCGCTGCCATGTGCTTCTTCCTCTCTTGTCGCTGCCATGTGCTTCTTCCTCTCTTGTCGCTGCCATGTGCTTCTTCCTCTCTTGTCGCTGCCATGTGCTTCTTCCTCTCTTGTCGCTGCCATGTGCTTCTTCCTCTCTTGTCGCTGCCATGTGCTTCTTCCTCTCTTGTCGCTGCCATGTGCTTCTTCCTCTCTTGTCGCTGCCATGTGCTTCTTCCTCTCTTGTCGCTGCCATGTGCTTCTTCCTCTCTTGTCGCTGCCATGTGCTTCTTCCTCTCTTGTCGCTGCCATGTGCTTCTTCCTCTCTTGTCGCTGCCATGTGCTTCTTCCTCTCTTGTCGCTGCCATGTGCTTCTTCCTCTCTTGTCGCTGCCATGTGCTTCTTCCTCTCTTGTCGCTGCCATGTGCTTCTTCCTCTCTTGTCGCTGCCATGTGCTTCTTCCTCTCTTGTCGCTGCCATGTGCTTCTTCCTCTCTTGTCGCTGCCATGTGCTTCTTCCTCTCTTGTCGCTGCCATGTGCTTCTTCCTCTCTTGTCGCTGCCATGTGCTTCTTCCTCTCTTGTCGCTGCCATGTGCTTCTTCCTCTCTTGTCGCTGCCATGTGCTTCTTCCTCTCTTGTCGCTGCCATGTGCTTCTTCCTCTCTTGTCGCTGCCATGTGCTTCTTCCTCTCTTGTCGCTGCCATGTGCTTCTTCCTCTCTTGTCGCTGCCATGTGCTTCTTCCTCTCTTGTCGCTGCCATGTGCTTCTTCCTCTCTTGTCGCTGCCATGTGCTTCTTCCTCTCTTGTCGCTGCCATGTGCTTCTTCCTCTCTTGTCGCTGCCATGTGCTTCTTCCTCTCTTGTCGCTGCCATGTGCTTCTTCCTCTCTTGTCGCTGCCATGTGCTTCTTCCTCTCTTGTCGCTGCCATGTGCTTCTTCCTCTCTTGTCGCTGCCATGTGCTTCTTCCTCTCTTGTCGCTGCCATGTGCTTCTTCCTCTCTTGTCGCTGCCATGTGCTTCTTCCTCTCTTGTCGCTGCCATGTGCTTCTTCCTCTCTTGTCGCTGCCATGTGCTTCTTCCTCTCTTGTCGCTGCCATGTGCTTCTTCCTCTCTTGTCGCTGCCATGTGCTTCTTCCTCTCTTGTCGCTGCCATGTGCTTCTTCCTCTCTTGTCGCTGCCATGTGCTTCTTCCTCTCTTGTCGCTGCCATGTGCTTCTTCCTCTCTTGTCGCTGCCATGTGCTTCTTCCTCTCTTGTCGCTGCCATGTGCTTCTTCCTCTCTTGTCGCTGCCATGTGCTTCTTCCTCTCTTGTCGCTGCCATGTGCTTCTTCCTCTCTTGTCGCTGCCATGTGCTTCTTCCTCTCTTGTCGCTGCCATGTGCTTCTTCCTCTCTTGTCGCTGCCATGTGCTTCTTCCTCTCTTGTCGCTGCCATGTGCTTCTTCCTCTCTTGTCGCTGCCATGTGCTTCTTCCTCTCTTGTCGCTGCCATGTGCTTCTTCCTCTCTTGTCGCTGCCATGTGCTTCTTCCTCTCTTGTCGCTGCCATGTGCTTCTTCCTCTCTTGTCGCTGCCATGTGCTTCTTCCTCTCTTGTCGCTGCCATGTGCTTCTTCCTCTCTTGTCGCTGCCATGTGCTTCTTCCTCTCTTGTCGCTGCCATGTGCTTCTTCCTCTCTTGTCGCTGCCATGTGCTTCTTCCTCTCTTGTCGCTGCCATGTGCTTCTTCCTCTCTTGTCGCTGCCATGGCCCTCTTCTCCTTTCCCCTCCCTCTCCCGTAACTCACCCCTGCTTCCCCCATCCGTCCCCTCCCTCCTCCCCCATCCTTTGCGCATTCATTCGCCATCCTTCCCCCACTCCTTTCCCCTCCCTCGTCCCCACCCCAGGGCGACATTCGCTGTCTTGAGGACCTCACCTACGCGCGTCGCCGCGCCTTCCTCCAGCACCACCCGCTCCCCCCCTCCATCCCATGCCTCTCCTTCCACACGCACGCCTCGCGCGAACCAGCAGTCATTGCCTCCCTCTCCACCATCACGCACACTGAAATCCCCTGGCTCGCGCGCACCTCGCAGAAACTCGCGCTCTCCTTCCCCCTCTCCGCCGCCCTGGCTGCACTCTCTCTCTACCTGGAGAACCGGTACGGTGCGGAGAGTGATGGGCTCGTGACGCGGGCCGATGCAGAAGTGCCGGGTTCGATTGTGGTGCGGGCCAAGAGGAATATGGACCATGGGTTCATGGTGTTCCCGTCGCTCGGGCAGAACCGCAGGGCGAATGGCGTGGGGGAGGGGGGAGGGGCGGAAGGGGAAGTGGGGAGTGGTGGTGATGTGGAGGGTGATGGTGGTGGTGGTAGCGGTGGGGATGGGAGTTACAGGAGTGGCACGGGTGGTGAGAGCGATGGGAGTGGTAATGGTGGTGGCAGTGGCAGCAGTGGTGGCGGTGTGCTGAGTGGCAGCAAGAGCATGAGTAACATCAGCATGAGCAGTGATATGCCACGGGGAGCTAAGGGTGCTGCTGCTGCTGTGGGCGGTGCTGTTGCAGCAGCGGCCACGGGGGTTGCGGAGGGCACAAAGGACATGATGGGAGGAGGTGGAGAGGAGGAAGAGGAGGTGGATGCCACGCCTGCTGAGATCTGTGAAGCCCTGGTAACGCTGCTGCTGGCTGATTCACGGTGATGCGTACTGCTGGTGCCATGCTGCTGTGCTGCTCTGCTGCCGTGGTGGAAGCATGCATGGGCTGAGTACATATTGTGCCATGGTGCCATTACTGCTTGTGTACATATTGTTTGTGCGATGCTACATGGGATGGGATGGGTTGAGAAGAGATGGGGTGGATGCTTAGGTAGGGGGGACTGTGACATGGCTCATTTTGGCCTGCCTTTTTTTACCGTGTATGGATTGTATTGTAACCTAGAATCGAATTCAGTCTTTTGTATGTTTTAGCGCTTCTTCGCTTTTGCCATTGCATTTTCAACCCCATCCCAAGCCAGTGCAACATGGGCTTATATGCCAGGGCGGGCAGTACCACAACTGGTACGGTAACAAGTGCCCTATGGTACTGCGTAGATTGCTGCTTCTTACGGTAGTGGGTTACTGCAGTTCAGTTCAAGCTACCAAAATATACCAGTGCTTTGGCAAACTGTACCTCAAACATGACCCGTGATCCACAGCATTCTTTCATGCGTGTGTCGCGTAAAAAGTCCACACATCCCCTGCTTCCCACAACGCCTTCACAAACTGACCCGTTCATTCACGCGACTCGGCTCGTTGTGCTTCTCTGGTTCGAGCCGATGGCTGCAGTCAAGCCAACCATCCCTCCCCGCAAACTATCTTCCACCAGCCCACAGCGCCACCACTTCTGTGTTCCCACTCATGATTGAGTTTAGGTTTAGAATCGCGTATTGAAGTCCGTCTCGCCTCTCTTCATCGTGAAATTGTTGCCTCCTTCTAGTTTCAAGTTGCGGTGCGTAGACCTGCATGCATTGCAGCGTACAGCCAAAGAGCATTCCAGCCTGACGAACCTCACCTCACGGCCTTGAAACAAGGGAATGGCGACCACACCGCGGGACATGGAACTGCGGCTGGTGAACGGCATGGTGCTGAAGGTGCAGCTGGAAGAGATGGCGGGCGGCGTGGGGGAGCGCGTGGCGGCGTTGGAGGCGATGCTGAGGGGGCAGGGCGACGCCATGGCTGCCATGCAGCGCGCCATAACCCACCTCAAGCGGATGGCGGAGAAGAGTGAGGTGGAGGGGGCGGGAAACGAGAATGCGTCGGGGGAGGAAGCGGAGGGCACTGGCGCGCAGCTACCGAAATGCGCGGGGCAGAACAACGCTTCTTCTGCGCTGGAAGTGGGGGAGGTGAAGGCGCAAGTGGAAGCGGCTAGGGCGGAGGCGCGGGACGCGGCGAGTGAGCTGCGCGGGGAGGTGGGCGCGCTGAAGGCAGAGATTGCGCGGATGAGGGCTGCGGCGGAGCAGCAGGCAGCGGAGGTGGCGTACGCGAAGGCGACGGCGCCGCACTCGGAGGCGCGCATCAACGAGGTCGAGCTGGCGCTCGCTGCGCTCAAGGACGGGCGCGCGGAGGAGCATGCGGGGTCGGAGAGGCGCGAGGGGAAGAGGCGGAAGAGGGACGACGCTGGGGAAAATGGGGGGATGGCAGATGCGTTTATTGCTAGTGGTGGTGCGGCTGGGGACAAGCAGGACTTGGCGGAATGGGATGGCGTCGGAGGTGAGTGCGCGGATAATCGTGTTGGGCGTTCTTTCTTCCTTGCTTGTTTCTTTCTTTCCTTCCTTCTTTCTTTATGTTTTCCTGGTCGGGGACTCCGTTGTTACCGTATTGATCTTACACGAGGGTAAAACAATGTTTGCCTCTAGCGTCTGCGGTTTGTGTGGCACACATGGGTGCATGTGTAGCTTATTTGTTCCAAAGAACCTTGCTAACACACCCATGAATCTCTGATACCAAGAGCTCAAGCTAATCTCTCCCCACGTTTGCCCTTGCTGCTCTCCGTGCTGCTCTCCTCCCCATCCATCATCAGGAATTGTTGACACTGTGGCACAAAGTACTTCCAGGCAAGACTCGCATGGAGCTCAGCGCCATTCCTGTTCTCAACGACTCTGCTCTCACACAAGTCGCTACCTTTTCCTCTCTAACATCACTCAACCTTAAAAAATCCTCCGGTTTCACTGAAGTGGGGATCAGAGGGCTCTCCTGCCTCACGAGCCTGACAAGTCTGAATTTACGGGGTACAACCACAGAAGACGCGGCTCTTGACGGCGTTGCCAGGCTGGGGAAGCTTCAAGACCTTTTGCTCGGTAAGGCCAAGATAACTGATGTGGGAATGGCAAAGCTACAGGGGTTGCGTGCACTCAAGAAGCTGATTATAGGGGGCGTGCCGGTCACCTCTGCCAGCATGGTACATGTGGGCTGTTAAGTTGTAATGTGTTATATGTTTGTAGGCTGTAGTGGGGTAGCTAATATGGGGTACAACCCCAACTAGGGTTTACTACTTGTACCCAACTGTTTAGTTCAATCCACCATTCTTGCCTAGTCCTGTTGACATGGTATTCAGAGCAGGAGGTCCCTAGGACCTACCGACCGTTTTTTTTTAAGGGCCCACCACCGCTCGCATGCGGTTACCACGCTACCCCGTGCCCTAGCCTCGTAGCGCCCTCGTGCGCCCTCGTTAGCGCCCTCGCGCGCCCTCGTTAGCGCCCTCGCGCGCCCTCGTTAGCGCCCTCGCGCGCCCTCGTTAGCGCCCTCGCGCGCCTCTCGTTAGCGCCCTCGCGCGCCCTCGCTGCGCCCTCGCTAGCGCCCTCGCGCGCCCTTGTTAGCGCCCTCGTGCGCCTCTCGTTAGCGCCCTCGCGCGCCCCTCGCAGCGTCGCCCGCCCGCCGAGCCGCCCGCTCGCAGCGTCGCCCGCCTACCGCGCTGCCCGTTTCGCAGCCCGCCCGCCGCGCTGCCCGCTCGCAGCGTCGCCCGCCCGCCCGCTGCCCGCTTGCAGCGTCGCCCGCCCGCCCGCTGCCCGCTTCGCAGCGTCGCCCGCCCGCCGCGCTGCCCGCTCGCAGCGTCGCCCGCCCGCCTCGCTGCCCGCTTGCAGCGTCGCCCGCCCGCCCGCTGCCCGCTTCGCAGCCCGCCCGCCGCGCTGCCCGCTCGCAGCGTCGCCCGCCCGCCTCGCTGCCCGCTTGCAGCGTCGCCCGCCCGCCCGCTGCCCGCTTGCAGCGTCGCCCGCCCGCCCGCTGCCCGCTTCGCAGCCCGCCCGCCGCGCTGCCCGCTCGCCGCGTCGCCCGCCCGCCCCGCTGCCCGCTTCGCAGCCCGCCCGCCGCACTTCCCGCCTGCAGCGCCGCCTGCCCACCGCGCTGCCCGCTTCGTAGCCCGCCCCCCGCACTGCCCGCTCGCCGCGTCGCCCGCCCGCCGCGCTTCCCGCCGAGCTACCTACCTGCAGCGCTGCGGCAGCTTCCTTTGCTCAGTCGCGCTGTCGCTATGGCTTCCATCCGCGTGCTGTCGTTCGATGCTGAGGGCCGCCCTGTGAAGTTCGCCACTTGGCTGGATGACCTGCAGCTGTTCCTTCTGAGCGATAGCAAGGAGCATGTGTCGCTCTATGATTACGCGTCTGGTGCTGCACCTGCCCCTCCTGCCACAGCTGAGCTTAGTGTTCGTTCCCACTGGCAGACTCGTGACGCAGCTGCTCGCCTAGCCATTCGCAGTCACCTGCCGCTAGCTGAGCTCGAGCATTTTGGCGACTGCAAATCCGCTAAGGCCCTGTACGATGCTGTCGTTGCTCGCTACTCCTCGCCTGCCACAGCCGAGCTTAGCCGCCTCATGCTGCCGTACCTGTTCCCTGAGCTGTCCACCTTTGCTACAGTCGCCGATCTTATCACCCACCTTCGCACTAGTGATGCTCGCCTGCGTGCCGCCCTTCCCACCGAGTTCTGCGCTAAGAATCCCCCTCCACTGTACTGGACACTCCACTTCATAGTCACCCGTCTCCCTGACACCCTCAGCTCAGTTCGAGACCACTTCCTTGCTCGCTGTCCCACTGAGCTCACAGTCGCCCTCCTAGAGGAGCAGCTGCTAGCGGCCGAAAAGAGCATTGTAGCTGTCGGTGCTGCTCGTGGCGCTCCTCGCACCCCCATCTTTGAGGGGTGTTCTCCCTCTCCCCTCGCTCCCTCCTACGCTACTGCTGCTGCTGTTGACTTCCTTGGTGCTGAGTCTGCTGGCGCTGCTTCTGCTCCTGGTGGGAGGCGCCGCACCGGCAAGGGCAAGGGGGGCAAGGGTGGCGGGGGTGGCGCTGGGGGGGGAGGAGGTGGGGGAGGTGGGGGGGGAGGCGGTGCTGGAGGGAGCGGTGGCGGGAGCGCTGGTGGGAGTGGGGTCGGCGGTGGAGGCGGGGGCGGCGGAGGAAGCAGTGGTGGTAGTGGCGGCGGCGGCGGTGGCGGCGGTGGCGGTGGTGGCGGTGGTGGCGGTGGCGGTCGGAGCGGTGGTAGTGGTGGCGGCGGAGGTCGGAGTGGAGGCACTGGCTCGGGCCAGAGCTCCCAGCAGCAGCAGCGTCCCCAGACGACCCAACAGCTTCGTGAGTGGCTTGCTCAGCGTGGGACGTCGGGGGGCAGTGGCCGCTGTTCCTATGTCATTCGCACAGGTGACCGCAAGGGACAGACGTGTGGGAGGTTCCACACCCCGTACCGCTGCTTCTCCCGCCTTGACGACGCTTGGCGTGAGGAGATGGGCGAGGATGTTGAGCGCCCCCGCTGGGCTGAGCTCATGAGGGCTGGTGTTGATATCTTTGCTCTTGACTATGATGCTATTATTGCTGCCATGTATGCATTGACTGTTAGTGCCGAGGGAGACTGTTACTTGTGTGTGCCGCCTGACCCAGGTATAGAGCCCGCTGCCCTGGGTGCTCTCTCTGGTATGGTGCCCCCTGTACTTGCTCCCTCCAGTGCTGTCCCGGCTGTTTGCGAGTCTGCTCTCTCAGGTACAGCACCCACAGAGACTGCTCTCTCAGGTACCGCACCGGCTGAGGCCTGTCACACCTTCACCCTTGACTCAGGTGCTTCCCGCTGCTTCTTTCGAGACAGTACTGAGCTCACACCGCTTCCTGCACCGGTCCCAGTCTCCTTGGCTGACCCCTCTGGGGGCCCAGTCCTTGCCCAGTCCACCACTGTGCTCCCTTGTCCGGCGGTTCCGTCTGGCTCGTTGTCGGGTTTCCACCTCCCCTCGTTCTCGACGAACCTGGTGAGCAACGCTGTCATCCAGGATCAGTGGGTTGACACCTTTACCCCTGGAGGACAGCGTGTGGCGATCTGCACGTGCTCCAGGACCGGCCGTCACCTGGCTACGTTTACCCGTCGGCCGGGGTCGAGTCTCTACACACTGACCACTGCGTCTCCTCAGGTCGCTGCTGTCGGTCAGGTGTCCGCGTCAGGTCTGGTGGCCCACGCCTGTGAGTGTCGTTCCCTGTCGCACCAGACTCTTCTCTGGCACCACCGCCTGGGTCACCCCTCCTTGCCACGCCTCCGTGGCATGCACCGTCGCCGCCTTGTGTCTGGTCTTCCCAGGTCCCTCCCTCCCCTCCCTGCCTCGCCTGCGCCGCCTTGCCTTCCTTGCGTCGAGGGGCGGCAGCGCGCCGCTCCTCACTCCTCCTCGTTCCCCCCGACAGAGGCTCCTCTGCAGACCCTCCACCTGGACGTGTGGGGCCCAGCCCGCGTTCGTGGTCAGGGCGGTGAGCGGTACTTTTTGCTGGTTGTCGACGACTACTCGCGTTACACCACGGTCTTCCCCTTGCGCACCAAGGGTGAGGTCCCTGCTGTTCTGATCCCTTGGATCCGCACAGTTCGTCTCCAGCTCCGCCGCCGTTTCCGGACGGATCTTCCTGTCCTGCGTCTGCACTCTGACAGAGGTGGTGAGTTTTCCTCCGATCTCTTGAGGACCTTCTGTCAGGCGGAGGGCATCGAGCAGACCTTCACGCTTCCGGACTCCCCACAGCAGAATGGGGTTGCTGAGCGCCGCATTGGCCTGGTCATGGAGGTCGCTCGTACCTCCTTGGTCCACGCGGCGGCTCCCCATTTTCTGTGGCCGTTTGCTGTCCGGTACGCCGCGCATCAGCTCAACCTCTGGCCCCGTGTCTCCTTGCCGGAGACCTCGCCCACACTGCGTTGGACGGGGGGGGGTTGGCGATGCGTCGCGCTTCCGGGTGTGGGGTGCTCGTGCCCTTGTCCGCGATACGTCCGCGGACAAGCTCTCCTCCCGCACACTTCCCTGTGTCTTCCTTGGCTTTGTCCCTGACGCGCCGGGCTGGCAGTTTTACCACCCCACCTCGCGCCGGGTCTTCGCCTCTCAGGACGTCACCTTTGACGAGTCGGTCCCTTTCTACCGTCTCTTCCCCTACCGCACTGCCCCTCTCCCTCCCCCGCCGCTTTTCCTTGCTCCTGGTCCCCCTCCGGTAGACCCCCTTCCCCCTCAGGGTCCTGCTCCTTCAGGTGTCTCTCAGGTAGACCCTCCTCCCGTCGCTGAGCCTGTCGAGGTCACAGGTGACTCAGGTGCTGCTGCAGGTGGTGCTGCTGGGAGTGCTGAGCCTGGGGGTGCTGAGCCTGCGGCTACTGGGCCTGGGAGTGCTGGGACTGCGGGTGCTGGGGCTGAGGGTACTGTGCCTGAGAGTTCGGCGCCTGGGGGTGCTGAGCCTGGGGGTGCTGCGACTGGGGGTGCTGAGCCTGGGGGTGCTGCGACTGGGGGTGCTGAGCCTGCGTGTGCGGAGTCTGGGGGTGCTGAGCCTGGGGGTGCTGCTACTGAGCCTACGGAGTTTCGGGTTGCTGCGTCTGGGGGTGCTCCGGTTCGGGGTGCTGAGCAGTCTCTCACACCGCAGCAGCTTCGTGACTGGTACGTCCGGCGCTTTCGCCGTCCTAGTGGCTCTGCTGGTGTTGGGGGTGCTGGAGCTGCTCGTCCTGGGGGTACTAGTGCTGGGGGTACTGGAGCTACCGGGACTGGTTGTTCTGGGAGCACTACGACTGGAGCTGCTGGAGCTGGGGACTCTGGAGCTGGAGGTGCTACCGGAGTTGGGGCTGCCGGCTCTGGAGGTGCTCTTCCTAGCGGTCCTAGGGCTGCTGGAGCTGACGACACTGGAGCTGACGGTTCTGGACACGGTGGTCCTGCTGGTTCTGGAGGTGCTGGCGAGGGG